AAATTGAACTTTAAACAGGAAAAAGTCTCTAAAGGGTCTATGAAGGTGCTTTTTAGGATCTATGAAGAGAGCATTTCTCCCAGTCAGGCTCTGATGGATTCATTAATTCATCTATTTGCTCACCTACCCATTGAGTGATTTGACAGCCATTTTTTGAGGGTCTCCCATAAGCCAAGTCTTACATTTGGGTCGGGGGGAGGACACAATAGCAAAGCAGACATAGCAACACAAACTCGTTGTCAACACATATTTACTAAGTGCTGGGGCACCATCTGGGTGCCTGAGATATCTCAGTGAACAACACAAAGATCCCTGACCTCATCAAGCTTGTATCCTAGCAGGGGCTGCATAATAAATGAGCTAAATGGTATATTAGAAAGTGACCCCTGCTATAGAAAAATAAGTAGAGCCAGGTAAGAGGGGGCAGATTATAGTATTAAATTGGGTACTCAGGATGGCCTCATTGAAAAAGAAATGTTTAGCAAGTCAGCTAAAGGAAGTAAGGGAGTTAAGTATACACACAGCAGAGGAAGAGAGCCCATGATGGGGGGAACAGAGGCCCCAAGGTGAGAGTGCCGAGTGTGTCAAAGGAAAAGCAAGGAGGCCGGCAGCTGGAGCAGACTAAGTGAGGGGCAGAGTAGTAGGTAAGGTGGGAAAGGTGAGGGGAGCCAGGTCATGGAGAGCCTCAGGCCGCAGGAAGGACTTTGGTTCACTCTGAGTGAGATGGGAGCCATTGCAGGGTTTGGATCTGGCACGACCTGACGAGCCTTTTTAAAGGAGCGCTCTGGCTTCTGTGTTGGGAGCAGACTAGATGGCAAGGGTAGGGGCTTATTCAGGTGAGAGGCGGTGGTGGCTTGGAGCAGCAGGAGAGGGAGTGAGAATGTCCCAGACTCTGGATATGTTCAAAGGTAGAGCCAGTAGGACTCATGAGGAATTAGAGCTGGATATAAGAGGAGAGAGGAATCAGGAACAGCACCAAAGTTTTAACCTGAGCGTCTGCGAGCTGACTTTTACTATGACACGGGGAAGCCTCCAGGCGGGAGGGGGCTTGGAGCGGAGGAACAGAGTTCAGGATTGGTCATGTTAATTTTGAGATGCCTGAGTGAAGGTGTGGAAGGAGGCAGTTGGACATTTGAATCTGGAACTTAGAGGTCTGTAACAAAGACATACTTTAGAAAATCATTGGCATGTAACAGATATTTAAAGCCATCCCCAAGGGAGTGAGATGGAGTAGAGAAGGGATCTGAGAACAGAGCCCCGAGGTCCAAGAGCTGTGAGTACTGGGCAAAGGCAAGTACCACAAAGTCGTTCCGCGTAGGTGAAAATGGGGCTTCAACTGGGGAAAGTTAGACGATGAGGGGCAGCAGTGAATGAGGNAATTCAGGCCCCACCATGGCTGGCCAGTACCTCCAGGGGTCTGCTGTGTTCCAGGGAACAGGAATGGCTTCCTGGGCTCGGAGGCGCAGCCTTCACCCAGACTCCCCCAGAGGCTGGCAGATGTGGTGCCTGATTTGCCCATCACTAATCCCTCCATGCCCTCTGCCATGGGGATTAGTTCCTGGGGTCCCCAAGCGTGAGCGGTGGGGGGTGGGGGCACATCTGTCAGGGAGACTGGGCAGCACCACGTGACCCAGGTTGGTGGGCAAAGGAACGCTCTCTCTAAAAGTAGTCTCTGCCAAGCCCAAAGTAAGAGAGATGACAGGGCGGCTGCCAGGAAAACAGCCCACCCACTGGCCTCCCCGCTTCATCCGTCCCCCACACCAGCTCCTCAGCTGCCTCTGAGGAACCTGAGGCTCTAAGGAACACAGTTTGAAGATCACTGGGGCCAGCCTAGTTGTTAAATATTCAGATAACTCCGTTCAAATCCCAGTTCTGTCACTGCCTGTGTAGCCTTGGGTAAGTGTCATGCCCTCTTAGTTTCTTCATCTAGAACACGGGGATAATGATATCTCGGTTAGTGTGAGGATTACATTGCCATGTGCTTGTAAAGCAGGTAGCCCAGGACCTGGCACCTGGTAGGACTCCATAAAGGCTAGCTTCTTGTTATAACCCGGCTTTTATGCCACAACTTCTACCCAGCTCCTGTGGCAGACATCAGACCTTTCTCAGTGAACATTCTAGAAAGTCACTATCCTTTGATTTTAGTTGGCGCAAAAGAGAAAATACATTCGCCTTCTTGGCACTAGCTGTGGCTACCCATTGAAACTACCTGGAAAAACCAGCAGTATCTGGGTCCCACAACCAGAAACCCTAGTATAATCCTGGGGAGATTTTAAAAACAACTGGTGTCTGGGTCCCACTCCCAGAAGTCTCCAACCCATTTTAAATGTGTGTAGGAATAGCCTGGGGATTGAGTTAAACTGCAGGTTCTGAGTCAGTGGGTCGGGTGGAACCTGAGAGTCTGTCGCCATCTCTCACAAGCTCCCGGGTGATGTCAGTGGTGGTCCAGGTACCACACTTTCAGGAGGAAGGCTTCGTTGCGATTCATGAATCGCACCAGCTTCCACATCATTATCTCCATAGAGCCTCATGGTTGCCTCCCAGCCACCCGTGTTGGACAAGGCTTGAATTATTATCTCTCTTTTGCGGGTGCTCAGGGTCGGGTATGTGAGTGGGTGGAGGCAAGCCTTCTGGGTCTTCTTCTGTATCCCCTGTGGCCAAAGATCTGGGCGGGACCGGAAAGGAGATTGATCAATTAGAGCAAGAAGAGATCTGAGTGATTTAATCCCATCTCCACATTGTATGGCTGGTGAAACAGGCTCTGCGAGGGGAGGTGACTTGGCAAGGTCACATAGCAAGTTTAGTGAGAGCAAAGGAGCTGGGATCCGTCCAGGTCTTTTCCATTGCTGGGCAGCCTGCCTCTCAGTCCCACAGGCTGAGTGCTGACAATGTGCCAGATATAGGTGTCGAGTGCTTTCTGTGTTACCTTCTTTGGTCTTCACAACAATCCCCCCCCGGAGGCAGGTTCTATTTTGTCCCCATTTGACATATGAAGAAACTGATGCTCTGAGAATTGAGGTCCCAGGAAGTGACAGGACGGGGATATGGACCCAGGAATCCTCGCTGATTCCCAGACACTAGTGTGTCTCCCATGTTGGCAAAGACCACATCTCATTCTGGTTTGTGTCACCAAACCAGGGCTGAATGTCTGAATCAGTTAATCCACTCCAGGGTTCTGCAACTCTGTTGACAAAGACCCTCACCCCTCGGACACCATCTCCTCTCCAGGAGCTCTGCCCGTGCCCCTTGCCCCAGCCCCATTGCAGCCCTTTCTCACAGCGGGGACCAGCTCTGCCCCTCCCGAATTTAGCTGACCTGAATCCACAGCTTGTCATACCGCAAAGTGGCCACATGGTGACAGTAGATGCCCACGTGTAAAATCTGGCCCAGCCTGTGCCTCCTCCCTGAAAAATCATCTGTTCCTTGATGTTTCTCTTCNCTGCTTATGTTATTAGGCCAGTGTAGCTCACAGCCGAGCCATATATTGTACCATGGTTACACTTTCTTGTGCAGCTTCTAGTTTTCCTGGACTTAATTGCCTCTTTTTTTGTTTGCTTAGTTTTTTTTTTTAACTCAATTTCATTGAATTACAATCGATATAAAATAAAATATACCTATTTTACTTGTACAGTCAATGAATTTTGATTAACATATATATATGTTAGTCAAAACTCATTGACTATATTATATACCCCTCCCCCCAATCAAAATATAAAATATTTCCATCACCCCCAGCAAGTTTTCTCCTGCTCTTTTGCAGTCATCCCCCACCCTCCTCCCAGGCAACCACATTGGAGTCTATCACTAGAGATTAGATTTACCAATTCTTAGACTTCACGTAAACGGAATTATTTTTTGAAAATTATACTTTGAAGAGACAGACATGTCTTTTATAGTTCTTAGCAATTATAGTTCTGTGTAATAAGTGGAAATAAGCTTGAAGAGCACGAGGCCTGGATTCCTGGAAGAATTAAAAGAATCAACTATCACTGCCATCAGCAGCATTAGAAAGAATTACCCTGTTGTAGAAACAGGTGTTATGTATGTGGGGTGGGGAATAGAGAAAGGAGGGAGGTGAGAGTGAGGGACAGCTGTAGGGAGAAGGCAAAAATAAAGCCCTGGGGACTAAAGCAATCCCATTGGACTCAAACCTGAATTTCCTAACTTCTGTCAATCTTATTACCACAAAACTCGTTTGCTCTCCAAGATTTCCCCGGTACAAGCAGGATAATTGTGAATAAATAAAACGATCTACCAATTACATGTGTTTTCCTCTCCTTGGACTGTACGCTCTTTGAAAGCAAGAACTTCATAGTTAAACCCTTGTCACCTAGTAAGCATTAATAAATATTGGCTGAATTGACAAATGAGTAGGTGAATGAATGAGTCAATGAATGAATATATAAATGCATGCAATTCTCTGGATGAAATGGTCGCCGTCGGAGGTGCAGTCTGGCCCAGAAGCGCCAGGACCAGGAAGGTGCTGGGACCAACTCCAAAGGCCAAGGAGACGCTCTAGAAAAGCATCACGCTCTTTGCCATGGCGCCTCTCTAGCCGTAAGGACGCAGCTCTATGGCAGCAGGGGAGGGCGGGGCCGTGGGAGTCTCGGGCCTTATTGTCCCGACGCGGCTGGAGGGCGCTCAGCGCGTGCGTACGCGTCGGCGGTTGGCAGCGCGCGGACTGCGTGAAGTGAAGCGAGGCGAGGCGGTCGGAACCTCAGCCCCGCAGACTGAGCGGCCCCTACGGCCGTCAGCAGCCAGGCCGTCCGAGATGTTGTCTGGGAAGAAGGCGGCTGCTGCGGCGGCCGCGGCGGCCGCGGCCGGGTCGGAGACTAGTGCTGGGACAGCGGCCGGCGCTGAGAACGGCTCAGAGGTGGCCGCGCCGCCGGCGGGCCTGTCGGGCCCTGCGGAGGCCGGGTCGGGGGCGGCCGGGGAGCGCACTCCCCGTAAGAAGGAGCCTCCACGGGCCTCGCCTCCCGGGGGCCTGGCCGAGCCCCCGGGGTCCGCCGGGCCTCAAACCGGGCCTACTGTAGTGCCTGGATCCGCGACCCCCATGGAAACGGGAATCGCGGAGACTCCGGAGGGGCGACGGACCAGCCGGCGCAAGCGGGCGAAGGTGAGGCCTGACCCCCTCCCGTAAACCACAAATCCCAGTGTCTGGCTTTCCCGAGGTTATCCAGCCCCCTCACCCTGCCTCCCCCAGCCTTGGGCCGTGAGCCCCACGCCCACCCAGACCTCCCCACTGCTGAATGGGTGGGGTGAGGGGGGAATGTCAGCCTGTGTTGAATGCGGTCTTTGTGCTGGTACCAGGCCGCCCTGGGAAAGGGGGATTGATGGGAGGGCTGTTTTCCTCGTTACATCTTGTACACCTCATTTTCTTGACCGAAAAAAAATGGCTCCCTGACGTGGAGTTATGGTTGGCGTTGTTGGAGACGTACATCACTCGTTTGTCCTCAGATGTGTCTGGGAGCTGCTCGGCAGGATTTATGCACTTTCACCTGGGAGCACATTGGGACTGTAGGGTGATGCTAAAGAAGTTGCCTTAGCCATGGAGACCGA